CATGAAATGGTAAAAAATTTGATTGACATTGAAGAATCTTATATTAACACCATCCATCCAGATTTTGATGCAACAGAAATCATGTTAAACGCAGGAATAAATAGTGCCACACCTTCAAATGAACAAAAACCTCCTGTTGTTACTCAAGCACCACCAAAACCTATTCCACAACAACCAACAACTAAACCTCCTAAAAAACAATCACCATCCAAAGGTGGGTTTTGGTTTTGGGCAAGCAAAGCATCAGACGAAAATGAGGATGAAGATAATGAAACTCAAAAACAAACCACTCCTTCAGTTCCAGTCCAACCAGAACCTAAAGTTGAACCAATTGTAATCAGTGCTACTGATACAAAAGAACAAAGAAATATTAAGATGATGAGAGAATTAACTAGGTCATATTTAAATATCGTAAGAAAAAGTATTGAGGATTTTGTTCCTAAAGCAATTATGCATTTCCTCATTAACCAAACATGTAAAGATTTACAAAAAGCATTAGTTGAAGAATTGTATAAGAGTGATAAAATAAATGATCTTATGAGTGAAAGTCCAGCAATTACAACAAAGAGAGAAATGTTAAAAAAGAATTTAGAGGCATTACAAAAAGCTTATAATATTCTTGAAGGAATTGTTACAATCAAAGTTAATTAAAAATATTTCTTATTTCATTTTCAAATAGTTCAGGAAAGAGAGATGTCATAAACGAAGGAAGTAAACACAAGAAAAGATAATTTATTATATTTTTAGTTGAGGAAATTCATTGAGTTTTAATTTCATCTTGTTGTAAACTATGAAATTCCATAGTGTTAAGTTCTATTGATTGCTCTGAAGCATATCCCCAATCATCAGGGACGTCATCATCGTAAGGTTTATATTGATAAAAGTATGATGTGTCTCTACGACCATTTAATCGAGGAATAATAGGTGGTGTCATATTTCTAATTAACGCAAATTTAATATTAGAGAAGAAATCATGTTGTTTAATTTCAGATGCTCCATACTTTGACCCTAGTCTATCTTCTGAATCAACATCAAGCAATTCTTTAATAAGATCTTTTGCATCTTTTGATACTTTATATCTATGCATTTTAGGAAATGTAAATTCTCCCTTTTGAATTTTTGAATATGTTTCCTGAATACTTGAAGCAGCGAATGGATTACAACCATAGAGAAACTCATACATAAGGACTCCAAGAGTCCACCAGTCAACCGATGCAGAATGACCATCTTTTGCAATAATTTCAGGTGCCAAATATTCATCAGTACCAACAAATGAATTAGATCTGAAATTTGATGGTTCAACAACAACTTCATCTTCTCCAAATAAACTTGACTTTATTCTAGCATGGTCTTCTACATCAGAATGTTTACTAAGATCAAAATCACTTAACATAATATGTCCACTTTCATGTAATAAAATATTTTCAGGTTTTAAGTCACGATACACAACACCTTCCATATGAAGATATTCTAATGCACAAATAATTTCAGCAAGATAAAACTTAGCAACTACTTCTCTAAAACAATTACCTGGTTGTTTATTTAATAATCTCCAAAAATCTCCTCCAGCACAATAAGTCATAACAAAAATATAATAAAAGGGTGTTTCAAAATCCCATACTAAATGAACAAGAAATGGATGATTAAGTGATTTTAATATATTTCTTTCAGACTCAACACGTTGTTCTTTTTTACGTTCTTCAATTATTTTTTTTTCCATAACTTTCATTGAATAAAACTCTTTTGTTCCTTTCTTTTGGACAAGATAAACTCTTCCAATATTTCCTCTTCCAATTAATGCGATCTTCTTAAAGTCAATAGGAATTGCAGGCTTCTTATCAGTTGGATCACAAATTGTCATAAGTGGAGTAAATCCTCTATTTATTGATTCAAGGGTTTTTGGGACTATATCTATTTCATTTGAAGGTTCATCCCCATCGAGAGAACTTCTTGATTGAACTGCACTAGATGCCATATAATTTTTTAGATGAAATAACAATTTTAGTCTTTTAATTTTAAAAAAAAATATCTTAAAGAAAATAACTTTATTTTTTAGTATTTTTTTGCCTATTTGAATTAAAACTTTATTTAGAAGAAAAATTGATAATTTGGAATTATCAATAAGAACTAATAAATATTTAATAGTTTTAAGAAGTTAAAAATTGAAAAAAGAAGATAAAAAAGGAAAAAGAAAAATAATAAAAGAGATATAAATAACAAATGAAAACTATTTACAAACAAACTAAAAAAAGAAAAAGAACTATTTTAATAATTAAAAAAGATGATTTGGTTATTAATTACTTTCATTAAATTTTCAATTGCTTTTAATTGTTCTTCTGTTGATAAATTGACAATTCCAAGTACTACTACTTTGAATACCTCACATATCCTTTTTTTTAAAAGTTCTTCTGAACAAACCCTGTCACTTCTTGTTTGTACTCTTAGTGATACTCAAGTTCATGTTACTATCGATAATACTTGTAATGAAAATGGATTATCTAATGAATTACAAACAATTGATACTAAAACACGATGTGATGACAGTCCATTGATTCAGATTTTTGCATCTAAAGATGAAACATTTTATTTTAATATCACAGTAACAAATGAAAGTGATTACCAAATATCAATTTCTGTTTCTAATTCAAATAATGATAATCAATCAATTAAGGATTATGTAACTTATATTATTATGGGAATCCTTCTTTGTGTCCTTATTATTACTAGTTTATT